GCGCGTCACCACCCTAGGTGTCGCTCGACACTCACAAATAGGTAAGTTCCCCATTTCCCACGTTTATTTAAAACCCTTCCCCTCACATCTTTTTCTCCCTTCCTCCTCGCCGCACTCGACACCTTCACCATACCCACCCTCACCCAAACCGAAATTACTCAAATCTTCACCGATTTGAGTGATTCCACAGCCTAACCTCATCAGATTTTCTCCCTCTATCTGTTTCTCTCATCGATTTGCCATTCATCGAATCTCCACATTTTCGATTTCGGTACCTCAGGTATGTTTGTCGAAATTGCTCTTTTTGGGTTGATGCTTTGTTCGATTTTACCTATGGCGATCCATTTAGGGTAGATTTCGATCACCCCCATGCACTTTAAACGGTTCATTTGGCTAGATTTGAGAAATTCGTTCTTCATGCCAACTTCACTTCGAAAATTTTAGGGTGTGAAATTTGTTTTGGACTTAGGGAGATTTCTGACTGCATGAGTAGCTGGAATCATTGCTGTTGCTCATTGGACTTGCTGGAGTAAATCGATTGTGCTATACATATTCGCTGACTTGAGATTCTTCTCTTTTGTTGGTTTGCTCTGTTTCTTCTTTCGCAGATGCCTCCACGCAAGCGACAATGCAGGGACGCCACCTCCAGCTCGCAACCTCCAGTCGAAGTCACCTTCCAACTTGGGGACCACGTCGAAGTTTTGGATGGTGACTTGTGGCAACGTGCAACCGTCAGCGCTGTACTCGCACGATCTCGCTACATGGTCAAATTCCTTGACTCCCAGGAGTTGCAGGTGTTCCCATCATCCCATCTTCGCCCTGCCGCACCACCACGACCCTCCGCTTCACCACCACCATCACCTCCTGCCATCCCTGATTCACCTGACGAGAGGATTAGGCGCCCTTGGCCTAAAAGGGAGAATCTGCGCATTCCAACACGGAGGATCTGGGACGAGCCACCTCGAGCTGTTGCTGAGAGCGTTGAGTGTCTACACAGGCCGATTTCAGATGACTGGGATGATTACGACAGTTTCTTTTACAACGCCTAGCTTAATGTGAAGCTACTCCCCACCAGGTTTTTGGACGTTCTGGATATGAGGCGTTTGGGTTTGGACTCTGAGCTCCTGCGTTTGTTGACGAAGCTTGGATTGGGATCTATGGCTACCAGACCCTACGATCTGTTTCCTGACCTTGTTCGTTAGTTCCTAGCCTCTGTTCGCATCTATTACACCAACAAACATGCTCCAAACGCGCAGGAGGGCACTCTGACTTTCATGATCCGTGGGGTTCGCTACAGGCTTCCTTTTCGCGATCTGTGTGCCATCTATGGGTTTCGCAAGGACCTCCCGAGAGTCACCCTTCCTACTCAGATGTTCGATGTGCAGGACTTCTGGTCCCATTTTGGGAATGGACGCTATGATTCGAAGACTACGTCCCAGACTGACGTGCGCCATCCTGTTCTGCGATGCCTCCTCCGTGTCCTGGGCAACACCATTCAATGCAAGTCGACTCCGGGTAAGATGCGTCTCTCTGAGTTGGCTCTTCTCTATGTTGGCATTGGTGATTTGACAGATGGTGAGCACTACCGGAGTTCCGCGCACGCTACTGATGTCAACATGGGAGCCCTTTTCGCTCAGCACTTGGTTTCTTTGCAAGCCAAGCCTTTTTCTGGAGCAGGTACGACGCCGCGGACTGAGTCTGTTGGTAGCTTGCTAATCCCTATCTTCCAGCATTTTCGGATCTGCACGGAGAACAGCACCATTGTCACGACTCGCCGAGCTATTGATTTGGATCACCTGTGCCACGCCTCTTGGATCAACAACAACAATCAGTGGTCTTTTCGCACAGCAGCTGGTTCATACCGGATTCAGCTCCCTGATCGTGCACGCACTGACATAGGCACCGACTGCGCTGCGCTTCGTTTCATGCCAGAGAGGAGAGTCTTGATTACTGTGTCTCGGGGTTCTTCTTCCAGAGCTCGTGCTTCCACTTCCGAGGATGACCAGATACCTCGCTCCGCAGACACCACAGTACCTCTCCCTGATCTTCCAACTGCGCCAGAGGTTCCCATGGAGGCTGCTGTTTTCCAGTGGTATGTCATTCAGAGTTTTCAGAGCATCTGGAGTGCCATCGCTACTCTCTCTCGCTGCGGATGTGTTCGCCCTACTCGCCCGCGATCTCGCTCACCCACACCCACTGACGATGCTACTACTAGCGATGAGGACTAGTTCCTTTGTCGTTCCAGTTCTGTTTTCTTTTCTTTTTTTTCTCTTATCTTTTCTTTCCGTTTGTTTGAGTCTGTTGTGTCAGCTACACCTGCTGTGAGACTTTGTTGGATTTATGCTTCTCTGGGTTGTATTGTTACTACTAATTTCTCTCTGAGTGATCTGACAGTGCTAACATAGATGGTTCTCTGTCTTGTTCGGTGGACTCATGTGTCTCTGCTCGCTGATTGCTCTCTGCCCTGTGGTGTCGCGCGACACCATCATTGGTATCGCTCGTCACCACCCTTTCACTTTCGACCTAAACTTGTTTTCATCTGAATCTGAGCTGTGTGTTGGTCGACCTAACTGAGTAGTAAGCTATTCGAACCCATTGCATTCATCCTTCTAACTTTCTCTTTTGTCACCGACTTCGGATTTGATTACACTAGGGACAGTGTTATTCAAGTCTGGGGGAGGTAGTTGCTGACATTGTGTTTGTTTTCTTAAGAGTCAGTTGTGTCAAAACGTTTTTGAGTCAAAACCTGTTGGAGATTATGATGCTTTTCTTGGAAATATTGCGCTGACCTTTCACCTAAGTGACCACTGCTGCAGATTCAGTCTAGATCCGACTAATGAAAAATCCAAAGGCTGACCAGTTGACTAGAGGCGTCCATGTTTCCAACAGAATCCACTAACCTGAGCTAAGTTCTGAACTTCACTTTTAACTCGTTGATGTGACTGATGCCTTAGAGCTTGATTCCTCGTTCGTACTTGATCAATGAAGGCCTGTGTGAAATTTAATGAAGTGATTTCTCTCCCTTGTGACGAGCTAAGAAAGAAAGAAAAAGGGCAAAAAGATTGAGATGATTTTCGCTTAGGAGTGAAGGGCTAGGAATGTTTCCAATGATCCCATTATTTCACTTCTAAGTTGGAATGATCACACAAAGGAAGGAAGTGAGGGGTAGGAATGTTTCCCATGACCCCACTATTCGCTGAAAACCTTTGATACAAGGTAAGGGGACAACTCGGGGACTTGGTGGCAAACACCATCAGTACTCGCAGCTTTACCCTTATCGAGTATGCGCCATAAAAAAAAAAGAAGAAGAAAGGAGATGATGAATGTGCGAAACGAATAAGTCTGGGGGAGAGAAAAAGTACCAAAGTTTGTATGGCTGATTTGTTTGAGTACAGAATGGGAAAGAATCTAGAAGGTTCTGGGCATTGGAATCATCAGTGAGATCCAGCGATGAGGGTTTATGGACAATGTTGTGAAATTTTGGACTTAATCTGGAAAGCTGTGAATGTCTACGGAGAAGTACATGGTGGTTCGATTTGGAATGATGAAGCAGTAGTTGAGTTGCAGGGAGATCAGTCAAAGCGATGTTCCAATGAAAGGTTGAGTCTCCGTGTTTTCAAACCTCTTTCTCTTATTTGGTGTTCTGTTTGCTTGAGGGCAAGCAAATGCTAAGTCTGGGGGAGTTGATATATCATGGTTTTTATGGTTTTTAACCATGGTATATATCTTAATTATAGAGTCTTTTTAGTGTCTTTCGAGTCTTTTGGAGTCCTTTCAGGTCATAGGTACGTTTGGAGCTTAACTGGAGACTCTGGAGCACTTTGGAGCTTAATCAGGATCAAATTCGTCAAGTATGGATTTTGTGCCTTAGTGACGCTCGACACCATGAAGAGTGACGCGTGACACTTGTTAGAGAAATAAGGAAAAAGCGATTTTGTTTCCTATTTGAAGAAGGAGTTGGGCCCAAACGTTTCCAAGGAAGCCCAAGACGTGTCTTAGAGATATTTATAGGATTTTTATTCCCTTTTTACAGAGACCTTAGATTATTGAGAGAGAGATATACTCTGAGTTTTCGGCTTTTTCGATTTCTGAGCTTTGGGAGACAAGTCTGTACTCTGTTCGTTTAGAGAGAAGATTTCGAACCCCTTTATCTATTTCGATTTAATCTATTGCTTTCTATTCATCATGTTTGTTGTTTCAATAACCATGTCTGAGTAGATCACCTGTTAGGTTTAGGGTTTAATTAGGGTTTTCTCTGAATGTTTGATTAACTTGCTAGTTAGGGTTTATATCTATTTGTTCTTCACCTTAGGTTGTTCTTAAAGCTAATTCTGGACTGATCACCTAGAACTTAGATCTTAGGTTGCTTAATTGACACGGAAGTGAAATTGAATAACTGGAAAGAACCTAGGTTGAGCAAAGTATCCATACGCAAAGGAATTTGGTTTAGATGCTTTGTGAACATATCGAACTTGTGCATTAAAGCTGGTTTAAATCTGTAGGATTTGCAAAGGAATTTGGAATTCTAGGATTTTAACTTAGATAATTCTCACAACGGAAGTTGGTTAATTATAATTCTGTGTTTCGAGTTCAAGAACTGTGCTTAAACCTGAACCCTGACTTGTTAAGTTGATTTGCATTCATTGATCTCCTGAAAATCACCCTAGACCTAATCCTTATCACATCGAACTTACAAACCGTTTTCATTGCTGCATTATTTATTTCTGTCGCATTGCTATTTGTTTCACATATTTTGGCTTAGCGTAACTCTATCTACATAAGGTTTATTGAGTGATTTCTTGTCTCTGTGGTTCGACCCCTAGATACTACAACTGCACCTCTGTGCTCTTGCAGAGTAGCTTAGGGATTAAACTTTGAGCAGATCACAGGAGTAGACTTCATACGTAGTTTTTCGAGGCTTCATATGGCTAGTAATCCATTTACTTATTGTGTTTTTCCATGCTCGCATACAGTGCTGCGTGGCTAAGGACTTGGCGGATATGTTTCCCGTGTGGGATGATGACGAACAGGATCCAGATATTGTCAAGATTGTCAATGCACTCCATGACCCCAATTTCAAGTTCTCAAAAAACCATTGGCTTTTGGAAGGTGTTTTGGGTGCACACATCGTCAAGGCAGAAGCCGGAAAGAGGAGCCTTCCCTCAGATGAATCAAGTCGCAAGAGACCCTGCACAGCCTCTGCCTCTGCCGCATCATTCGTTGGTGATGAAGGGGTCGGAGTTGTCGCTACTATGAAAGCGCACTTCGACCAATGCTTCAAAAGCTTTTCAACCAAGATGCTGAATGGTCTTGGTAGCTGTGAAAATCAGATCAAACGTCTCACCAAGAAGGTTGAATCTGTAGAGCGTGCGGTAGAAGAGTTGACTACAGGGTCGGCGAAGCATACTGAGGAAGAGGTTAAAGACAATGTAGAGCCAACCCAGCAGCAGGGCACTGGATCCAAGAAGCCTGAAGGGGTTAGTACCAAAAACCCTCCGCCTATACGAAAACATTACATACGAACAAGATCACACAAAGTTAGGAACACTTAATACTAATGTCATTTGAATTCGAACATGTTTACTAGTGTTATGTACCATGTGAGATTATTTACTTATGTTTTCAAAACTAGTTGTTTACAATTTTCAGACTATGATAAAACATGTTACTAAATTATAGCATTGGTGTACTCATTTGTATATTCATGCCTGTTTCTGACAATAAACTGCAGAGTAATTCAGATAAAGATGATGCTCCGATGAAAGATAATGTCAACGTTGGTGCGTGTGAGAGTGTTAACGCCCTCGGGGATGCAAAAAGAAAGAAGGCTGCCGTGAAGGAAGAAGAGGCCCCAGAGATGAAGGAAGAAGAGGCCCCAAAGCCTAGATTTTGTGAAATTGACCCGAAGACGTGTGATGTTGACTTTGACGCGGTTGCACTAGCCAAAAATGCCAAAGCCAGAGAAGCGGCTCAGATAGTTGCCCGAGCAACGAGTGCGAGACACCACCAGCTGGCTGCGACACAGAAGAATCCGTTCTTAGGAAACAGCACCGCAAAGGCCATCATTCCATCGTCGGCATCTCACTCTGGCCGTGTCCGTAGATATGATCCTTTTGATCAAACCGGTGTCAACGTGAAGCATATCACTCTAATGAAATTTATCAAATCAAACCCGTAAGTAGACTTCCTCATAGTATTATTTCCTATCTAACTTTTTCACTTATACAGTGCCTATCCAAAACGCCCAAGACACTCTTCGATCGAGTGGTATTACATTCTCCGGACACCGACGAAATGGCTAGCTGATACGGTTAGTGTTTTACTTTCTCATATTAGACTTCATGTTTAGACTTCATACGTAGACTTCTATAATAGACTTCGTTTGCATAATTTAGACTTCGTTTGCAGACTTCACTCATGTCTTATTTTCACCAATGTGCAGCACATGGAAGCTTACATTAACCTACTCAGGCTGCGATTATCCAAGCATCCGGAGTGGTTTGTATCCGACCGGATTTGCTTCCTCAACTCCATGTTTGCTACCGTTTGGAGGCGTGACTACAAAGACTTCAAAAATGACCCGAATGCAGATGGGTCTGGCAAACTTCTACCGCCTGGAGCATATTCGTACTACACTGGCGAATTACATATCTACTGCCAGACTAAGAAGACGTGGGCATATGATGTCGACTATTTGTACTCCATGTTGCACATTAGGGAGGACCATTGGGTAGCTATATGGGTCTCATTTGTGTCGAGGCATATCACGATATGGGATAGCCATGCGAGAACCAAATATGCATCTGACGAACAAATTGCCGAAGCTGTGGAGCCTCTTGCGGTTATGATACCCTACCTTCTTCAGACCTGTGCACCTAACGATGACAAGTGGAGATTCCCCTACACGCCGTTCACCCATTCGCGAGTACCAGGTACGGAGATACCTCAAAACATTCAGAGTGGTGATTGCGGAGTGTACTGACTGAAGTACATCGAGTGTCATGCATTGGATTTGCCATTTCCTCCGGAACTTTGCGATAAAAACATTCAAAAAATCAGGGAGAAAATGGCTGCAGAGCTCTTTGACGAAACAGGTTGTAGGGGCCATGATAAGCTAGATGCAACCACGCTGGATGTCTATGATAGGAAAGCTTAGCGTTTCCGTTCTTAAAACTAACTTTGATTTTTATGGCAACTTTTGGGCTACTTGCATAAATGACCTTCAATGTGATTGGAGGTCATTTTAGCAATTGGTAGATGATAGGTGTGGAAGTTTTTTTGCCACCTATCTTATAATTAACTTGCCAAATATGTTGTATTTTCGTTTATGATATTGTACTCAAACTGAAGTCTACGACTGAAGTCTACTAAGTTGTAATCGTAATTGTACTGAAGTCTACTAAGTCATTAACATGTTAGTATTTATAATTTTTGATTTCACCCTAACAACTGATTAAGTCCTGTAAAATATTATTGAACATGCGGAAAAGAGTATACGGAAAAGAGTATACGGAAAAGTGTATACGGAAAAAGTGTACACTGATAGTGTACACAAAAAAAGTTTTGTTAAAATAAGAATTATAAGTCTACAAACGAAGTCTACAAACGAAGTCTACCATAGTCATGTAAACATATAAGTAAACCCAAAAAACATAAAACATGGAGTCAACTAATTTCACCGCGGCCATTCATTTGCAAATCCAGGAATTATTTTCCAGAAGATGGCACATTCCAACTTCCAGAAGCAAGGACTGCAGAGTTTGTCACCATATGAGTCGACGAGGCTTTCATCATCTATCCAGTGCTGGTTTGGCAGATTCATACAAACACATCTCCTTGAATGTGCCTTATCAAAAACATGGAAGACCGGTTCGTGAAACGCGTCAGGCTTCTTATAAGTGGTCGGACACCTGTTTATGTGCTGCATAGTCTTTCTCATCTTCATTGCCTCTGCCGGAACTATACCACGAATGTGGTTAAATACATCATGGCTACCATCCATGGTTAAAGAGAACATAACCATGGAGTAAGTAGCCATGAGGCATCCTCCATTTGATGACACCTTTATTAAGTCAAATCCTTCTTGGATGCTATCTTCATAGAAGATTAGAGAAACTGCTTGTAGGTATTGCGCTGTAGGATTTCTACACTCCAAACAGCGCTGAAAGAAAGCGTCAACCCTCCCATGTTGATCCCAGACCCATGGAATCGTCAGAGTTATTAGATCAACGGCTCTTAAAAAACCCTCTTTTTCTTAGAAATCTCATTTAGATGTTTGGAGAAAACCCTTGCTTTGCAGAGCCCACGGTAGGACCGAAAAGTGATTTTTAAGAGGATATCCCACAGAATGTCGGAAGGGAGAGAGTTAAAGTTTATCTGGTTCAACATCTTCAAAGGGTCTGGAATGAGACTATAATTCGTCTAAACCCGAGAATTTTTAAGCAGAAATACAGTACACAAACAGGTACAACGGTTATACGCACCGTTAAAGTCGTTAAAGCAGTTACATATATGAAGTCGTTTCAAACATAACCGTAAACATCTCGATATAAAACACACCACATTCACACATTCCATGTTCCAAATCAACAATACAATTCCTGGTTCCTCCTTTCACATAGTATCTCCAAGTGTCAATTCGGTCCACCTCCATTGCATCTGCATAATATCCACAAATCGCCAGCAAATACTCCACTCCCCGAGTATTATGTGTTGTGAGACTCAAAGCATCCTCTCTGCGTTTTAAAAACCACCGACCGAGCTTCTCTCGTATGAAATCCAAGAGGAATGAAATGGGATAGCCACGGGCCTTCTTAAGTGCAGCATTTATAGACTCTGCAACATTGCTAGTCTTAATATTGTATCTGTCTCCAACAAAATTAACTCGGGACCAAAGAGAGACATCGGCTTCTTCCAAATAGTCAGCAAGGTCAGGCTTGATCTGTCTCAGCTCCGCCATGTACCGGTTGTAGTCATAGAGGTTGTAAGCATAAGCCACACGTTTAACCAAGTACAACAACTGCTTCCCGCTAAACTTTGTTACTATGTTATGTTGTAGATGGTAGTAGCATATCCCTCGTTTTGCCCATGGGAAAATAGTTTCACAAGCTTTCTTAATAGAAATATGTCTGTCAGAAACTATCACCAAAGGATAACTATCTGAGACACATTCACGCAGTTTAGAAAAAAACCATTCCCATGAAGCATCATCTTCACCATCAACAACTCCAAAGGCCAAAGGAAAAATCTGAGAGTTTCCATCTTGTGCGGTGGCAACCAACAAAGTACCCTCGTATTTCCCTGTTAGATGACATCCATCAACCACAATAACTCTTCTCATGTACTGAAAACCAGCAATCGATGCTCCAAATGCGAGAAATAGATATTTGAATTTGTTATTCGAATCTACATGAAGAGCTGATACAGTTCCCGGATTGGCTTTGTTCACTGAATGTAGGTAAGCTGGGAGACTCGCATATCCATCTTCAGCTGTTCCCCTGACCAATTGTTGACCATATATCAAAGATCTGTAAGAGGTAGTGTAATCCATCTTGATGCCAAACATATGCTTCATTGAAACCCTGACATATTCTGGTGTAAGTCCATCAATGATGCCGAAATGGCTTATAAACAGCTTGCCAATATACTTAGGAGTAGACTTCCCACGGTGAGCCATTCGATGGGCTATTGAACATGTGTGGTCTTTCACATATTTTGTCACCCAAAAAGTGGATGCATCATTCTTCACGCTCGCTCTAACCATCCAAGCACATCCTTCCACTCAACATTTAGCCACAAACAGGGTCTTGATAGACTTTTGTGTTTTAAAAGCAAATTTTAACATTATCGCAGTCAGTCTAACCTCTGATAACAACTTCTCTTTTGTAGGGAAACTTGCCCTAACATATATATTATAAGACCATGACATGGGCGTGCTCCCTGTTTCACCATATCGGTTTCTGACCTTTTCAATACAGACTTCATCTTCATCATCATCTTCATCTTTCAATTTACCGTAGACACTGTAATCTTCTCCGCCAGAGTAAGCTGCATCGTCGACATCTTCTCCATCCTCGTTTACATCAGAACTGTCTGTCTCATCATCGGTAGAATGTTCTGAATTTTCCTCAGACTCCTCACCTAAATCTTCATCTGATCCTTCCTGGTTCTCCTCAGTATCCATCTCCACTCGACTGGACACACAAAGACGTAACATATGCACTCTGCTTAATGCAATCAAGCTTGAAACTTATCTATCATTGGTGACATGCATTGGAGGTGTATCTGGAGCCATAGTTTGCAACATTGATACTGGTAGTGCGTAGGTTAACTCGATGATCTCAGTCTTCTTGCCCAAGTTATAATCATCTCGCGCCATCTCAGTAAGCTGCCCCAAGGTGCAACCATCGTTCAAAAACCACATTCTTCCACCTTTGCCCATGTCAACAACAAAATGCCATGAATTCTCCTCAATCTTCCACTCACCGTACACAACTGGAATTTGAGCCATTCTCTGAAAAAATAAGCATATAAACCATATTAGCAAACACTGCATAGAGACTTTTTGTATCAAGAGTAGACTTCACTACGAAGTCTACTTTGATAAGCTAAGTACCTTAAAAATCAAAACTTCTGATTCAACAATAAATATCCAATGAAACGAAATAAAATTCACTAGGTAGTTCAATCACTTACTAAGAAACAATTCTAAACCAAAAAAATTGAAAAATAGTTTATAAATTTGCTTAAAACGCGTTTTTACAAAAACGTCAAAAAGTAGACTTCTAAGGCAGACTTCGAATGTAGACTGGAGGAGAAGTCTACTTTTATAAGCTAAGTACCTTAAAAATCGAAACTTCTGATTCAACAATAAATATCCAATGAAATGAGATAAAATTCACTGGGTAGTTCAATCACTTACTAAGAAGGAATTCTAAACCAAAAAATTTGAAAAATAGTTTATACATTTGCTTAAAACGCGTTTTAAAAAAAAACATAGGAAAGTAGACTTCTAAATCAGACTTCAAATGTAGACTGGACGAGAAGTCTACTTTTTCATTGAGAAGTCTACTAATGAAGTCTACTAAAAAAAAGGTCATTTTTGCAATTGACCAATCTGTTGACTCTTCCTCCGGTAGATTTCAGGAGTAGACTTCAGTCAAAAAAGGTTACTTTAGCATTTGACCGATGCATTGACTAACACAGTAGACTTCTATTTTAGACTTCATGTAAGAGTAGACTTCTCTGACAGTCTACTTTTGAAGTCTACTTTTTAAATAGAAGTCTACGGAACAAAATAGGTTATTTTTGCAATTGAATTTTTTTAGTAGACTTCACAATGAAGTCTACTCAAAAAAGGATTCCTTCTAAGTTTGACCGAACACCATAAGTAGACTTCTTTGTGAAGTCTACTGAAGTTTTTTGGAATTTTTTTAATTTTTTTTTGTTTTTGAAAAACAGAAGTCAAACACAAAAATGACCTATACGTTTTTGGTCAAACTACAAAAGTAACTTAAAAGTAGACTTCGTATGCAGACGTAAACAGTAGACTTCATAACGAAGTCTAAATCCAAAAGTCAAAATACGGTCAACTACAAAAATAACCTCTTTTCTTTCGTAGACTTCTAAAGCCTTCAAATGAAGTCTACTATGTTTTTTTTTTGTTATCAAAGGATATCGAGTAGACTTCTCGTGAGGTTTAATGTCTACTTTTTAAAAGTCAATTGCAAAAATGACCTTATGTTGACTCATAGACTTCAGTATAGTTCACGAGAAGTCTACTTTCGCGATATAAAAACTGAAATGTGGAGAAATTGAAATGCGAGGATTACCTTTAACAAAATTGAGCTCGCCTAAGTTTCTCTTATCCAGCCAGAACTCAGAATTTCACCGAAATTAAACAATCCAGGTGTCGAGTAACCAGAATTCACCGAAAAAGCATGGCGCGAAACATTGTAACTTTGCCCAGATGTTTTGGAGAAG